GGAGGGAGGGAGGGAGGGAGGGAGAGAGAGTCGTGTGTACGTGTTTGTGTCCTTTTCTTTAGGAGTACAATTGGCATCGACCGCGCTAGCCGGCGGACCAACGAAGAGACGTCAGTTTCGGTGCGGCTGAAAACATGCGTGTGTGAGAAGAGAGAGAGAGAGAGAGAGAGAGAGATATATATACCGCCCGGTCCACCCGCAGGTCATTGGAAAAATAGGCATAGAACGAAGGAGGGCAAAAAAGGTGGCACGTTTTCGTCAGTCCGTCAGTCGGCAGTTTGTCAAGTCGTCCATTCCTTCACTCCTTAACCTTGTTGGTGGCGGTCTCTCTTCACCGCCACACTCGCGAGCACGTGCACACAGGGCTGGCGCACAAGCTCTCACTAACTCACTCCCGCCCCACCACTCTCGCCAGCATTCGTCATCCGCCACCCCCCCCCGTTTCCTTTTCCCCTGTGGCAGTCGTTCATGTACAGCCGTTGGCGCCTGGTGGCGTTCAACCTTGAAGGCGTTTTGGCGAGGGCCTGCGCCTTGCCGGAGCTGGTGCATATCCCGGCGGAGGCGGCCGCGTCGCTGGACTCCCTGTCGAGGGAGGTAAAGAAAAAAAGACAAGAAACAAAAAAATATTTTTGGGAGAGACTCCCTATCGAGGGAGGCGAAGAAAAAAAAACTAGAAACTACAAAATATTTTTGGGAGAGACTCCCTATCGAGGGAGGGATAACAAAAACAAAAATGTGGTGGGAGAACATCATGTTGGTTGGTGCAACACCCGCTTCGTGGGAGACATTGCCGTTGCTGCCACTGCTGCGGGTGTGCAGAATAGCAAGAGTATATGAAATCGTGTGCTCGTATTGGTAGAGTAGCGGAGGTTGATGATGGACAGCTGACTCCTCTCGGTAGTGCTCGCGAGAAGGAAAAAGTAATCAAGCGGGACAGCAGATCCGATAAAAGGACAGGAACCCCCCCCCCCCTCTTTGCGTTGACTTAAAAGTGAGTGAAAAACATGAGAGTTAATACAGAGTGATGGGGGGCACAACTTGAGATTTTTTTTTTTTTCTCGTCATGTAACGAAGCTATGCTCGAACCCGGGAGAGAGTGTTCGTCACCGTCCAATTTATCCCTTCGTGACGTTACTACTCTTCAGAAAGTTAGCTGCCGTGGGCTTCGCCGCCGTGCTTGTTTTTGCCTCTGCTTTCTAGTTGCCTTGCCTTTACCCACTCTCCTCGATCGTTTGCGTTCATTCTCGGCTTTGTTGTTGTTGTTGTTGTTGTTGTTGTTGTTGTTGTTGTTGTTGTTGTTGTTGTTGTTGTTGTTGTTGTTGTTGTTGCTGTTGTTGTTGCTGTTGTTGTTGCTGTTGTTGTTGCTGTTGTCATGGCGGTATTGCTCTTATCTTGTTTCTTTCCCTGCTTGCAGCCCAAGAACATGGTCGTGGTGAAGAGCCCTCGGAGCCGAGACACGCTGGATCGCCTGCTGGGCCGCACGAACTGCGTGCTCGCCGCCGAGCACGGAGCCTTCATCCGATGGGGGAAGCACGCTCGGTGGCAGGTGTGAAGCACAGCACAGTACAGTACAGTACGCGATCCATGCTCGGAATGTATGTTGTCGTGTCTCGGTCTGGCTCTTTTGGTGTGCTGCTGCCCCAATGGTCGGTCAGGCAGGAGAACGCGGTGTGGCCGTCATGGTTGTTGTGGGGATAGAGTCGTATACCGTATATGACACAATATAACACACCCCCTGGACCGATTTTCAAAGCTCGATTACTCCACGATGAAGAGGATGCATAAACGAAACAATACATTTTCGAAAACCTCTCGACGAGACGGTTCCAACGCCGCCGTTTTCGGCGCTGTGACTCTTCCTGCTGTTGAGAAATCGAGCTTTGAAAATCGGCCCAGGGGGTGTGTTATCTTGTGTCATATACGGTATTTTGGTGGTGTTTTGGGTGGCGGCGGCGGCGGCGGCGGCGGTGGTGGTGGTGGTGGTGGTGGTGCTAGCGGTGGGATGTAGCTGGTGGCTTCACGAAAAGGACGACCAGACTTCTAGCGAGTTGTTGTCGGCAGTGGTGGTGGAGTTGCT